TGACACTGACAGCTGTCCGCGTTCTAGGCAACAAAACACATTCCGATTGAGACGGCCGGCTCGTGCGATCTCTCGATGTCCACTCCGGACGGACCAACCTCGTGCTCGGAACGAGAGTGACCCACATGGGGATGCGACCGCGAACGGGACTGTTCCGCGACGCCGTGTTGGCACGGTGACCACGGGCTCCACGCACCCCAACCGCCGTCTACGGGATCCGTGAGTACCGGGCACTTGGTCACCTCTTGGTGCCAGTGATTCGCCAAGTGGTTCTGCTTCGGGGCGGGGGCGCACTTCATCAGGTGCTCGTTCCAGCCGCAGTAGGGCTCCTGGGCGTTCAGGCACGCTCGTCGACTGCGATGTCGATGGCACTGAGCAGCTGGTATTCTGTAGAAGAAAATGAGATCGGTTTTGACGCTGTTTGAACCCTAACTCTTTGCGGACCGAGCGCTCTTCGCCGTTTCGTTCCAGCTGGATCGCGCTGTATTCGCAATTTCGTACCAGCTACACTGTAGCTCTCATCTTATCTCATTTAGATTAAGATTGTATAGCACTTCCAACTACCTTAAACATTTATTTAATCGGGCAATATTTAAATATTTTAGTGAATCTTTTAAAACACTTTTAAAGAAGCACCAGTGCGTCTTTTACAATTCAAGGATGGCAAAGGACTGGTAACGAATCAATTAAACATTAACGGCATTCATACATTTCCACGATCATTCGTCCCCGCAGCACCTTCATTCACTCCATATACACTTCAAGAAATTATAATAAACATATAACGGGTCTTACAAATAATATTAAACCAATAAATGCCTACAATTGAGACACTGTCGAGTGAAGCTTGATACAGGATGCACCAGAACACAAAACGATGTCGAACCACACTCAACGCACCAAAACGAAAAGCGATGTCGAGTCGAAGGGTTAAAAATGAGAAACGTACCTTAATAAACCGACTTCCGTGCCGACGTAAAGGCTCTGCGTGTCCTTCAGGAATTGCAGCACCGTGGGGTTCGACGGCAGCGGACCCCACACCTCGACGATACAGGTC